ATTAAAAGATGTGTACAGCAATGTCATCTTACAAAACACACCACGAAAAATTCATTAACTGACAAATAACACATCATGAATCAGCTGTATGCCTATAACTAGGCCTACGACTAGGCCTATGACTGTATGTCAATGTTGGAGATGAAAAGAGACCTCCACTAAAACTAGGTCCAACAGAACTAGGTCCAGCTTCGTCAATGTGCTGACCTTCAAGGACATACGCCATAGCCTCGATAGCCTGGTAAAGTCGATGAGGATGTCGAATCTCGTCCTCATAACCAGCCTGAATGATAGGATGTGCAATCTTAAATGCATGTGCAATACTCTGCATTTAAAAAGAATATCACATTTTAGGGAACATATCAAAAAAGCAAAGGTATGTTACAAATGCATAAAAGAGGATAATATATTACATCGGCATGTTGGCTGAAATACTGATGTTCATGGACACGTGGTTCATCAGTGTGCTCAACATATAGGTGCGTGATATTTTTATACCAATCCATGTAACCCGGTACGCATTCCCAAGGCTGACGAACTGGTGTGCTCCTCCACTGCTCAGATAACACGTGGTTATCCCAAGCCTCCCAGGTCCTATCTAAGTATCTATTCATAACTGTATATCGTGCAGATATGTTGCCTCGAGTACCACGAGTCGGAGCTAGTGATGTTTGAACCCTGCCAAACTGCCTCAGAACTCTATCAGGATGATAGGGTTCGACCACATCTAAGCACTTCAAGCATCCATGGTAGAATGTAACTGAGTTACATAGATGTCGGTCTTTGTAATTGTGGTATGGATCCCAAATAACTTATAAACGTAAAGTGTTTTTGAATTAAAGTATAAATAGGGTAACATAAATGGAAAGTGTTAAAATTATTGATGGATGAGTAAACTTACATCAGTCGCTACCAAACTGTCAATCTCTGCTCGAAAAGATTTGAAATGATCAATGGAGGAACCCATCTCTCTCCTAGATGTCCACTGGTACACGTGTGGCATGTATTCATTGTAGCCCATGTTCTGAAGAGCGTACATCCCAATAGAAACAACAAATAAGCTCTAGCAGCGCACTGTATGGCCTCCTCTGGGTCTGAATCTATGACACCAACAAACTGACTTCACAACCACTCAAGCCTGACTGAATTCCCACCAACAATAGAAACCTCGTCATGTGCTACACATTCAGTAATCCCCAAGCCAGAAACCAGTAGTGTAACTCCATGAAGATCTGTCACATCTAGTACGCTGACTGATTTGCCTACAATGGGAAGGCTAAGAATAGTGCCAACATCATCCAAGGTCAAGGTCATGTCACCAACTGTCATATGAAATGTGTTTGTCTCAAGTTGCCATCTCTCAAAAAAACTGGAGATTAGAAGCTTGTTGATGAACCGATAAGTGCAACGAGCTAAGTGTGACAATCCAGACCGCTCAATAATGGCTTTGAATCTAGTGTTGTTGTCTACTGACCACCATGGCCATGCAAGGATCTTCAAAGAGTGATTATGACACTTTCGGGGCCCTCGTTCCTGTAAAATAAATGAATATCTTATTAGAAACTACCATATAACACAAAAAAAAATAAAAAATCATATACAAATGAATTTCACTTTCACTCAGAAATGTTTACCTCCCCCTGCCAAACAGCTGCAGCGACATGACTATTAAAACTCCGTAGTATTGATAGATCAGTCGGTCCACCTGGAAAAGCATGAGTAAGGTCCTCTTTCTGGACAGTAGGAGAATCGGGTAAAGGGGCATCCTCCACGGTAATGTCAGGCATATAATCAACTTCAACTCGTCTTTGGCTTCGACCCCAACCCTGACGTCGTCCTCGCCCACGCCCTTGTCCCCGTTCATGGTCGACATCCAATTCACAACGTCGTCTATTTGAAGCAGTAAATGGGACACGTTGTTGACTTTTAGGATCCATATTATCTTCAAAAATTAATATACTTAATGAGTATACAATTGTAAAAAGAACATACAAAATAGGGGGAGGGGGAAAAAAAAAAAAACAAAACCGTTCGGAAGTTGAAAATCGCAAATGTCCATTTTGTTCGGAAGTTGAAATCCGAAAAAACACATTCATTTCGAAAGTTGAATGTTGTCCGAATTAAACATATTCAAAAGTTGAATGTCGAAATAATGAAAAAATTTCAGACTTCTACTGTTGAAATAAATGATAATTTTCGAAATTCTACTTCCGAGCAAGTTGTTTTTTTTTTTAGAAAACCAGTTCCAAATGAGGAACAGATTGCTTATTTTCGTGGGCTATGCGTTTGTTTGTTTCGAAAATGGTAAAAACAAACCCTACATTACAATGAATAGGAATGAGGATTGAAATAAGTAAACTAACCTAAGTTGAAGAATTCCTTCAATGGTTCAATGAGATTCTTCAATGGTTCAATGATGTCTCCAATAAGCTTTTGGGGACAAAAGGTGTGAGAGCCATACTTGTGTGAGAGATGTGTATAAGAGATTGACGTGTGTGAGAGATCCAACTTCAATGGGTGTGTATTTTCATCGTTCGGAGAGTTCGGTTTTGAGTTTGGATGTGTGTGTGTGTGTGTGTGTATGAGGGTAGATGTGGAATAAAAGGTGTGTGCAGTGAGTAAAATAAATTGGGATTAATTTTTTAGGTGTGTGTGCTCTTTGACGGTGTTGAGGTGCTTGGCTACTAGTGGCATGATCTCCCTCATCTTCATCATCAACAATCAACCAACTTGAGATCTCCCTCATCTTCATCATCAACAATCAACCAACTTGAGATCTCCCTCATCTTCATCATCAACAATCAACCAACTTGAGATCTCCCTCATCTTCATCATCAACAATCAACCAACTTGAGATCTCCCTCATCTTCATCATCAACAATCAACCAACTTGAGATCTCCCTCATCTTCATCATCAACAATCAACCAACTTGAGATCTCCCTCATCTTCATCATCAACAATCAACCAACTTGAGATCTCCCTCATCTTCATCATCAACAATCAACCAACTTGAGATCTCCCTCATCTTCATCATCAACAATCAACCAACTTGAGATCTCCCTCATCTTCATCATCAACAATCAACCAACTTGAGATCTCCCTCATCTTCATCATCAACAATCAACCAACTTGAGATCTCCCTCATCTTCATCATCAACAATCAACCAACTTGAGATCTCCCTCATCTTCATCATCAACAATCAACCAACTTGAGATCTCCCTCATCTTCATCATCAACAATCAACCAACTTGAGATCTCCCTCATCTTCATCATCAACAATCAACCAACTTGAGATCTCCCTCATCTTCATCATCAACAATCAACCAACTTGAGATCTCCCTCATCTTCATCATCAACAATCAACCAACTTGAGATCTCCCTCATCTTCATCATCAACAATCAACCAACTTGAGATCTCCCTCATCTTCATCATCAACAATCAACCAACTTGAGATCTCCCTCATCTTCATCATCAACAATCAACCAACTTGAGATCTCCCTCATCTTCATCATCAACAATCAACCAACTTGAGATCTCCCTCATCTTCATCATCAACAATCAACCAACTTGAGATCTCCCTCATCTTCATCATCAACAATCAACCAACTTGAGTTACCTTCATCATCAAAGACTGCATTTTCTCTCTCTTGAAGCCATGGAGTTAATAGATCATCTTTTTCAAATATATAGTCAAGATTGATGGGGTTAAAAGATTCCTCTCCGTCATCTTGGATTTTTCGTGTTGCATATCTGATCTTTAGCCGTATATTGTAATACACATAAACAAGTGTAATTTTTTATACTTCAAGTGATTCCTTGTCTTTGTATGTATCAGGGTAAATGTACTCCAATTGTGCTCACAATTAGAATAAGACATGGTTTGGCTCAATACTCTCACTGCCACTTTTTGGAGTGCCGGAGCCGATGTACCATAATGGATCCACTATTTAGCTATATACAAATCAATCAATCATTAGTGATTCTGTTATAATTTGATATAGAATTGTTGACAATGTAACAATAATATGTAATTAAAATAGTTAATAGTTGATTGAGTATATAATAATTACCAGGATTTGTTGCTTTCACTGCTCTTTGTGCTAACACAGCACCAAAAGAATCTTTGTTATTACAAAATAAAGAGATCTGCAATGAACAAAAGGCAATAAGCAGTTTTACAAGCACAATTCACAACTCAAATAATAAGTTATTAGTTTAACAAATATTAAATAATGACTAACTTGGTTTATCGCTTGTATTTGCTCGTTTAAATTTGGTAGAAGTCTCGAAATCACATTTCTAACTCCACTCATCACTTCTCGATGATTAGAAAGGTGCTCCCCATATTGGAATATGGGATTTAAAAAATAACCTACATTCAAATATAAAATAATAATAAAAGTGAGACAAAGGAACACATAATTTATAATTTAAATAAGTTAAAAATTACTTACCAGCAACATGCAAGTCCGTGTGTAGTTTGAAAGCCCATCGATTATCAATAATCTTCCAATAATATACATAATAGCGACAATTTTGTTTGCTGGCCAACTTTGCTCTATCTATGGCTTCATATATAAAACCCATTGTGGGCTTTTCATCCCCATCGACAAGTCTAAGCACCTTTAGAAGTGGTTCTTTACTTTGTATAATTTTTTCGCTTCTTTTGCATCATCCTTTTTGGACCATTTGCTGTGCTTCCACTCTTTAGAATGAAACATATCTTGTAAAGCAGTCTTATGTTTAACAATGCTTTCCAAAGTAATGAAATTGGTGGCAAAGTGTGTGATGACAGGATGTAATAACTCTCTATCTCCTGTGAATCTCTTCATGAAGTCAACGACCCAATTGGAGTTGTAAATAAAGCGTGTGATTACTTTTGCACAATCCAACACCTTTGCCACGCTTTTTCTCTTCCCAATATCCTCTAACATAAGATCAATACAATGAGCTGCACATCCTGTCCAATACAAATTCTCTTTTTTTTGCATGAGTTTCTAACCAGCTGCCTTTATCGTAGCTTCGTTATCAATTACGATTTGCACAACATATTCTTCTCTAATTTCATCCACTACCTTGTCCATGAGGCCCAAGTAATAATTAGCTTTCCTACTAGGTACATCAGTTACATGCACAGACTTCTGAAAAATTGTTCCACAATTGCTATACACAAGAAAATTAAAAATATGCTTTCTTGTGGGCCCAGACCATCCATCACACATAATTGTAACACCTCTCTCAGCCCAACTAGATTTGTGAGATTTTATCCAATTTTGTAAGGCTTCATACTCCATTGGTAAATACACTTCAGTTACCTGTTTAATAATAAATAACAAACAAAAACTATTAACAAGCATCTTAATAATTTATTTATTTTTAAACATAGAAAGAGTTTTTTCAAACTTTAAGTTAGAGGCTTACTTCATAAGAACTAGGTAGATTTGTTCCTTTTCGAACCTCTCTTGTAGTATCCAACATTGGTTCTAGTCATTTAGAATTAACAACATTAGTAGGCACTGGAGTGAACAATACAAACTGGCTAACTGCTCTTCCTAATTTTTTCTTTACTTCTTTCAAGAATCTAGAGGAAAGTTTCGATTGTTTGTTGCCTTTGGTCCTATGAAGATCCACATCTATGTCTAATAATTGAACTTCTGGAGAGGATGTATCAATCCATTTCCTACATGTACTAGCCTCACGAACACTATGACTTCGCCGAGCAAAACCAGGAGGATGTGCAACCTCAATATCACGAGCCCCAATTTGTCGGGCCGTAACCATTTCTAGGTCCCCCTTATCATTTTCATCATCATCACACTGACTGGCTCTAATTTGTTCTGTCAATTCCTCATTCATCTTCCTTTTGTCAAGCTTTTTGCCCTTTTAATTATTCAAATAATCCATCATTAGTGTTCGAACTTCACCACTGACATTAGCACAAGGTGCGACTTGACCTTTCATATAGGCCAAATGTTGCTTCAACCTAGTTATACCACCATTTAGCTCTTTTCCACAAAATGTACACCTAATTTTATGCTCAGTATTTTCTAGTGGAATTCCAAATTTCCAACCAATATTATCACTTGGAGGTTTTCCACTAGAACCACCTCTGTGCGCCATTATAACTTTCAATTATCTACAATAACAGTTTTCAATTAACAAATATTGTAATTCTAATTTAGTTACCAATAATAATGCATTTAAAATAAAAATAAAAAATCTAAAATATTAAACCTCATTACTTAGAAATTAAATCTCTTTAAAAAAATCTGATAGATGAAACCTCTTTAAAAAAAATCTGACATAAAAACAATCAGAAATAAAAAAATTTGATAGATTAAAAAAATTTGAAATAAAAAATCTGACAGATTAAACCTCTTTAAATAAAAATAAAAAATCTAAACTATTAAACCTCTTTAAAAAAAAAAAACAATGAACAATCAAGCTGTTGTCAGACAAATTTTTTGAAAATTGTAGTGGAAGTCAGTCAAGCAGATTCGATACATGAGCCTAATTATACATTGCTACCACTTAATTTATTGGTTTTAATAGGTCCACAAATAGTGAGCCTAATAAATCAACTTAAAGGAATGAAGAAGTGAAATAAGTATGAAACATACTCTACAGGTACATTGGTGAGAAAATATATATATATATATATATTAATATTTGAACAATTATAAATATATATATTAAAATATCTCCCATCTCATACCATAATATAACCACAAAATGCAGAACAGTGGCTATAGCAACTGCAAAACAAAAAAAAAGAATATATATATATATATATATAAACAGAACAATACAAGAACAAAACAGAGCATGACACAACAAACCTTCAAAGAAGAAGCTTGAAAGCGGTGCCACTGGGAGATGGGTTTGGGTTTTATTCGATGCTTCTCCTTGCAACACTTTACAAGATTGATGCCATTGGGAGATGGATTTGGGTTTGATTGAGGATTTGGGTTTGATTCGATTGAGGGTTTTTGTTTAGAGGTTGTTACAAATTTATGGTCTGTGAGTCTGTGTATTGCTTGAAGAAGACAACACACATGAAGTGAAAGGTTTGAGTGAGTGATGTACATGTATGTGATGGGTTATTCCTTTCCTTTTTTGCATTTTCTTTTGTTTTTGCAGGTGCTCTGCACCATTGTCATCTGTACCGAACAATTATTTTTGCTTTTGTAGGAGTTTCTCTGCTCCATTTTCAGCCGTATCGGTGATGACAAATGTGTATAGGAACTGTATCGCTCGTGTATTGGATTTAGACCGATACATACTGGGAATCGGCTGCTACAGCTGTGAATTTCATTCTCACTGATATACCGGCCCATATCTGAATCGACACTCTAATTTTTCATTACGAACCGGCCGATACATGGCTGATATTTAGAACTATTCTCTTGACCTCATAAACTTCTTTACTATTATGGTGCCAAACCAAAGAATCAGCTTTGCCTTCAGAAGAGATGGGGATGGTTAAGATTTAACAAATATCGTTCTGATTCACTTGGCTTGAATAGCATTCAGGTCCCACTCTGAACGTGCCTAATTGATTACCTCTGCGACCTTTTGCACTTGACAACTTGTTGGCATGATCAAATGAGGTTTGAAGTCCAAAGATGAAGAAACCCACTTGTCCTCCCAAAACTAAATAGAGGTTCCATTACCCACTTGCCATCTTAAACCCTTCTGAAGAAGATCCCTTCCTTGAACAATGCTAGACTAGGCCCATGGGGCACGCCTTTCCCTTCCAGCCGAAATAATATCCAATTGAGGTTAGTAAATACCCTTTAAGATTCATGCGCAAATGAATTTGGGAATTTCAGCAATCTCCAAACTTGTTTAGCTAAAAGAACAATATTGAAGGCTTTAAAGTCTCGGAAACCCATTCCTCCATAAGATTTCGAGATCGATAATCGCTCCAACTGGCCCAGTGAATACCACTCTCTTCAGGATCCCCTTCTCGCCAAAAGTTGTTCAAATATGCGAGTTAAGTGTTTTGCTGATTTTTCTTTTTGAAAAGAAAAACAAGACATAGCATAAGCTGGGATAGCTTGGACCACCGATTTGATAAGGACTTTGCGACCTGCTTGGGATAACAAATTTTGCTTTCAACATTGCATTTTAAAAGAGCTCTCTCGATAAGATATGAGTAGGCCTCAGATTTGGACCTACCCCAACAAGATGGTAGGCTAAGATATTTGTAGACACCCTATTTTTGACCGTCCTCAAGACTTGGACGTCACCGTTTGAACACTCGGTGATCATCCTTGTTTGCATTCGTCTTGAGTTCCTGGAGGTCTTGGCTACGCGCCTTGCCTCAGGATCTCTCGACTCGACTGTTTTGTGTTTGGTTTTGCACCAAACACTTGTGTTTTTGCTTTGGAGGGCAGGGAATGGCTTTTTGGCCATCCCCACACGCCACCGGCCATGGCTTAAGGCCACCGTATGTGTTTTGTTTCCATCGGCCAAATGTTTGGCCGACCGGCACTCTAGATGGTCGACCGGCCATCTATTTTGGTCAAATTGCACTTTTGGCTAGCCGACCACTATTCATCTACTTTTGCAGATATTTTTATGCCAGCTGTGCTAGCTGGCATACACTTTGCTCCCCTCCATACACGTGTATAGAGGGATCTTCCTCTTGACTAGCTTGTTTGGAAAGCTTTACAAGAGGGATTGTCTATAAGAGGGAGCCTCTTCTCCCTCCATCAGGGTTACAAAAGTTTTCAGAAGAGCTCTGAGATTAGGGTTTGAGTTTGTATCTATTCCATCTCTATATCTCTCTCTCTTTTTGCCTTGTGTGTGTGTTTAGTCTTACTATTGCACACAAACACCTAGTCCTACACATTCTCTTGGTTGCTGAGGGACCAGAAGGCTGTTCTTGGTGTTTTTGGGTGGTTTTGAGCTTGAAGAAGCTGCTGGAGCATCATTCTTGAAGAGGGTCAACAAGGGTGAGTGTTCTTGCCCTTTATTCCCCATTTTTGCATAGCTTTTTTGACTATCTTGTAACTATTTTTAGACTTTTCATATAACATATAAAAGTTCTGTTTTTACCTACTTAAAATAGTTGTTTAAGAGTGTTTTGAGCTTCGGGGTTGTTTGACCCCTCTTAGGGCTTGTTTGGCCCCATTTTGTGCCATTTTGGTTGAGCTCCGGGACCACCTTGTTTGGGCCTCCTCACCACTGAAATCTTGATGGATTTTGGTGGTAAGGATGGTGCCTTAAGGTCCTAGGAAGGAGAAGGCCACCCCTTCTCCTTGTTGTCTTCAATAATGGCCATTTAAGTCTCATTAGTGAGCACCTTGTTTAAGTGTATGTTGGCCATGCCTTAACTATTTTTTATGCTTATTATGCCATAATATAGCACTATTTTTACTTGGTTTAGACACACCATGCTTGCTTAGCGTACATGTCTTGTAATGCCATGAATTGCCTTAACATGCCTTGTGCTTTGAGCCTTGTTTCTAGCATGTTTTTGGCTTAGCTTCATGAAGCTTTTATGCTTGTTTTAGCGTGCTAAAGGTCTGTTTTGGGTCATTTGGGTTGTCCATGCTTTCCTTTGTATAGCTACCATGTAACCTCTCTTGTATGCCTTAAGCATTGACCCCTCTAGCATGCCATCCTTGCATCATTTCAGTGGTTTGGAACCATTTGTCATGTCATTTCAGTCTTCATGATATGCTCGTATGCTTGCATTTGATGCCCCTTTCATGCTTTAAAAGGTTGGTGTTTCTTGCTCCATGTTTGTGCCATTGTGTATGCCTCTAGGATTAGATCATTTAGATGCCATCTAAGTGGTTTTTGGGGCTTACTTTTGCATGATTTAGGGATGTTCTAGTTCATTTTGGTCATTTGCTTCATATGTCATATGGCCATGGTTTAAGTCCTTGGGCTTGGTGGTATGCCTAGCTTGCATTGTAGATTGGTTTGGCACCTTCTCTAACATGATTTTCAGAGCTTATAATGCTTGCCATTTGTCCATGTTTGCATCTTCTTCAGTGTGTTTGAGAGTTATTTCTATGTGCCTAAGTGTTGGTCCTTGTGTGCACGCATGTTTGCACGTCATTTTGCCTTCATTCTTGAGCATGTTAGCTACTGTTTTGGGCTTGGAATAGAGCTGCCCAAATTAGTTTAAGTCCATAGTTCGCATGTTCCTGCATGCTCATCTTGTGTGTTGTTGCATACTTGTGTGTTGTCACATGTTTAGGTTGTTTAACATGTTTACTCCATGTGTTGTGGCATGATTGAATGAAGTCACATGCTTGCTTGCATGCTTGAACATCCCCATTGTATCGGGCATACTTATTGGTTAGCATGATTGTCACATGTCTTGAATGCTTGTTCGCATTGTTCATGTTGCATACTAGCTCATATGTCTAGGTTGCATTGCATTGACATGCATGCTTAGCCTCTTGAATTGAGTATGATAGAGGTTGAGCTCCTTGCTTGTTTATGTGCATTTCATTTGAAATCAAAGTGCATAACTTGGTTTCTTGGGCCATCACGCATCGAAATGCGTGATTAGTGGCCCAAGAACCGAGAACCATGTCCCTTTGAGTCATAAACATGATAAGGGATGTGTTGGTGCACACATTTGCTTGGAATGCATTGCCATGCCTTGTTTTGCCCTCTGCTGCTGTCAAAACAGGATTTTGCAGGAAGATTTGGCCGGCCGACCATCTTTAGTGCCGACCGACCAACAATTGGTGGCCGATATCTTATCCAGTGGCCGGTGATCATTTACTTTGGCCGGTGACCATTTCCCTTGGCCGGTGGTATCCCACAGGGTTCATAGAGTGCACATTGGGAATTTTACAATGATCAGAGAAGGAAAATAGTGTGGACAGAGGCAACCTATGCATGGCAGTGGACTTCCGAGCGGAGCCGAGCACGCATTGCATTGGACCCTCTTCCTGAGGCTGTTTATTGTTTTATTAGATTAGTTAATTTGCTTCACTAGTTTAATTGGTCTGTAATATTTAATTAGCTTGTAGGTTAGTTAAATCTGTATTATTCTTTCGGTCCCTCTGAGCGAGGGCAAATTTGTAATAAGTGTGGGTGCGTGTGTGCATGTCTTCCAACCCCCACTTCTTTCTCCCTTTTACTTACCT